AGACCAAAATGCTTACAGAGATGGATAGATAAATATTATTGATAGCCTGGCTACCAAGATATACAGATACTTCATCTGAACCAGTAAATCCATAAATGACTGAAACAAGCTACCAAAGTGGTAAAATGTGTGTTCCTGTATCTCTAGGCTTATAGATAGTAGTCACACACCTGCAGAACACAATAAAAAACTCCAGAGTCAACCAGGAGCATCAGTATGTGTGACAACATGAAAAGCTCCTGTTTCCCATGTTGTAAATTCTTCTTCAGGAAGTTCATATGTTCCCTGTTCAATGGATTGCTAGTCAAGCTTGAGAGGGGATTAGACAATGATATAATAAAATATTAGAGGACCCATCCAATCATTGCGGTGGAAACAAAATTGGTTACAAGTGATAAAGCAATGGCCGTCTCTATGATGAGCGTGACAACATCAATGTCAAAGGACACTGCCGTAAATGTCACTGGATTTGATTCTAGTGATAACCCAATAATTGCTACCACTAGATGAAGGCTTTTAACATTTGTCAACAATGTAAGGGGAAAAACATGTACTAAATGAGGGAAAGCAGAGGGATATTGAAAGATACATTGCCCAGCGCCGCCTCTAAAAGAGTGTCCATGCATGCCATATGATGAAATAATCATTAAACACTGGCTATGAGGAATTGGTTGATTTCAGATATTTCCTCCGATGCATGTGCAAATGACTCACAGTAATCTGTGTAATCCAGACATCAACAATATCAAAATTATTGATACTCAGATTATAAGTGATGGCACTTTGGCCCAGAGGTGTGGCGATGTTCATCAAGAATTTGCAAAATTTTACATCCACTGTAGTGTCCAATGCATAGTCCACTGTTAATACAAACAAACCCAACGATACAATCAAAATGGTCCTCCAGGAAGTAGTGAGCTTTCTTTTCCTTATGAATCACTTCAAATGGCAATGATCATCAGACTATGGAGGTATCCACTCACCAGATATGAACGCTCAGGACCCAAATGAAGATTGGCATTGAGATTATGATGTTAACCCATGAGGAGAGAACAGGATAATTTTACTTACCATAGAAAAAAGACTTCATTGCTTCAGGGACAAGTACATCCTCAAGAAAGGATACACCATTGTCTTTGAGAATTGACCGTTCTTCAGGTGTCATGGCTGACTGCAGTTCTGAGGCGAGTAGAGTGTGGTGACTACAAGAATGATCAGCATTATCATGATATAAGGTGAATCAACTCCAGTCCGGCACACGTTTCGAATTTCTCTAGCAATGATCTCAGGGGGGTTGAGACACATCATAGCATGATCAACCTCCTGGCTCTGCAGTCACTTCTTGAACCAAACAACCTTTCTGTCAGCTCAACTTGCTGTTGATCCTTCCTGGCCACAATTCTATCTGTTGTTAATAGCCATATAATTCGGATTTCACATACCTTGGCCTGACATGCTAAGGGGACTGTGTAACTATAAGCAAGATGAACATTATCTTGATGTACATAGTTGATGAAGGGCTATGTATAGAAAGGTTATGTTTGATTAGAAGAAGCCATCAGCACTGTATGAGGAGTTAACAAAGGTATGCCCAAGCTGATTCAAATTCACCGGGATCACGTTGTCGAACAACAAAATTGCTTGCAAGTGAACAATAATTGGAATCCAACCTCAGTTGAGTTGAACACTGTTAAAATTGAGACAAGAGTGTGCGGTAATAACATGTTGATATATTGCATGCCGGGTTGATGTTGCTGAAACAAAGGTGCACATCAACTCCGGTCCGGCACCTCTCTAACGTCCCCCGTCTTTCAAAGCGTTGAGACACAACATTTCCTTGGCTTCACACCTCTTGTAGCTTTTGAACAATCTTCCTGTCGGCTCAATTCACTGTTGATTGTGATTGATAGGAATGTAATCTAGGTTTCATGTATCTCAGCTGACTCCACAGAATGCGGGTGATTCATCACATACTTTACAACTAGGTTTGGCCTGTTCATGACTTTTCCCAACTCTACACACAGCTACACTGTTCCCACTGCAGCAGATGCAGAACCAATGAGGAAATCATGTCGACCGATCAAGAGGTTTCTCGAGCACGGATGTAGATATATTGATCCTCACGTTTGGTAGATTTCTTAATCATCTTCATTATATTTCCTATTTTAAACATTCGCAACCAGGATCCGCGCAACATTTTGACGACTGGGATGATATTCTGTCCTTGTACAAAATAAGCACTCATCTCGTGTCAAATGAGACGTACTCGCCAGACGGCACTGGTATATTAAACATCATAATGGTTGTATCTGGACTAATTATCTTCTTGTTCAACCCAATATCTCTATAAGACGCTGTGGGATAAATGGACGCGAGGGAGGAAACAAAAAATGGCGAATATCATCGGAAAAGGCTTGAGTCGCTCTGCCAAGCTTGAAACAAGTACGTTAAGTCCTCATTTTCTTCTTCCACCACTTCCTAAGTTGGTCTGGTTAGATCACTCACAGGCACATATGAAACCTCACCACCGCAAGCCCGGTCATCCTCTATCCTTAGATTACGTCTCAATCACACATCTGCCATACCTTATGCATCCTCCACTCATTCACTAGATGGGTCCCGACTTTGCCACGCGTTGGAACCGTGCTTAGCCAACAGCAATGGGTATGAGGCAATCTCATCTACCATCTCCACCCATGAACCCCGCCCCAAGCTGTAGTTTAAAATCTAGAAACATGGAAATGATGGCAAAACGACAGGAATTCCTGCATGAGTTTGGGAAGGACGGCGATTGCTGACGCACCGTAGATCACTCATGGGCACAAACAAGACTCCGCGCATCTTTCATTTCATTCAAATGATTGATAATTCATTTTATTGTCCTGTATATATGCACCTCCGTGTTACTTGCGATCCATTCGTTGCTATTGGCACATGAACGATGTGCTGTTTGCTCAGAATTGGTGGAACGTGAACGGAAACCAACTGAACTGAATCAGTCATCACCTCCGCAGAACACCCAAATCGAAAAACAACCTACATATATATGTATAGTCTTCTTCCGACATCCTAATATCTGTACCTCGAGTCAAGCTCGCCGGCGTACCCCGAAATATCCTGGCTCCTGGCAACACATCGATGATTTCTGTGATGAGGATTCTGGTATGTAGGGTTGCGACAGTAATTTGACTCTGAAGGAGTGATCAAACAAAGGGTGGGGGATATGTATAGTCTTCTTCCGACATCCTAATATCTGTACCTCGAGTCAAGCTCGCCGGCGTACCCCGAAATATCCTGGCTCCTGGCAACACATCGATGATTTCTGTGATGAGGATTCTGGTATGTAGGGTTGCGACAGTAATTTGACTCTGAAGGAGTGATCAAACAAAGGGTGGGGGAAGAAGGCCTGACTGGAACGTAATGGAAAAGAAATGTTCTTGCTCGTGAGAGCGAGGTACTTGTCCTTGTACTTGCGTGCGAGGGCTTGGTAAAATATCGAAATGGTTATTCGATCTGATCAATTAATCAATAAAGAAAGAGTGAGGAACAAAGCCTAAGTAGAAACACGATTGAATGGAGTGGAGATCCCGAACCCATCCCGTCCTAAACAAGACAAAGGTCCTTTCCGTTGATATAAACCGGATGCTGGGCGCAGGATAAAGGTAGATCAGTAGTTAGCTAGGCAGGTTTGAACATCGAGGGCCCTAGTAGTAGATTCAGTGCCCAGTTGCACACCGCCATGCTCAGATGATCTTACGTTGTCCTTGTGGCCGTGTGTTCCTAAACCAGACGGCGGCTTGCGTTTGTTGTGAAGTTGACGGTGCTGAGAGACGCCTCAGCCATCCGTAGCCTTCGTCTCGTCGACGATACCACGCAAATACACGCCTACTGCATCTTCCCAGCCCTTGCGCGTCCACCCATCCTCATGTAACGCACCCCGAATAACAACAAGCCTTGTCCGAAGCGACTCCCCCTCTCTATTCCCACGACTCTTGTCACTAACCGCCCTCACGATCGCAGCGCCCATCTCTTTCGGTACAACCTCATCACGCTCACTCGTAAGAACCAGCATCCGCCCACAAAGTCTTCTCAAAAGACTTGTCTCGCCATCGAGCTTCTCAACCGCACCCAACGCATCCCACCGATCCCACACAAACGGCGTAAGATACCGATACGGCAGCCACTTTTGTGGGTACAGCGCCTTTATCATAGCCGGTACGGACGTAAATGGGTTCTCGAGGATGACACCGCTGAGTCTGTCTGCGTCTTTTCCGAGAAGACTGGAAAGATTTGGTTGGGCGAGGAGACAGAGAGCGGCTGCGCCGCCGAGAGAGTGGCCGTACAATACGACACGGGCGTTGGGGAACTGGTAGAGTGTGTGGGTGAGGGCGGCAGTGTAGTCTGCGAGGATGCCGGGCTGGGTTGGGCGGCCTGGAGAGGACCAGTAAGAGCGTGGAGCGGGTGCAAGGATGGATGTGTAGGGTGGAGAGGCAGAGAGGAGAGAGTGGAAGACAGGGATGCGGTGCAGAGGGTTGCCGGCGTTGCCTTGGAGGTACAAGATCACGAGGTTGGGTGCAGACGGACCGACTTGGAGGGCAGAGATGGAGGCGGGTATGCGGAGTTCGGAACATGGCAGGGCGGTGGGGCGAGTGTCAGCGAGGCGGTCCGTGCGTGCACCGAGTGGGGCATAGCCTGCAGAACGTTTGTTGTGGAGTCAGCGTAGGAAGAGCAAAGACAGACCCATGTAGATGATCTTTCGTTGAAACAGAACCATCATCGCACACTAGACAGACATCACTTGGTTGTATATGCCAGCTGCATTGCCAGTCACCTTGTACGCCCACAGAGCAGCCGGAACCCCAGTAAGAATAGACGCCACGACGAGAGGCGAAGGAGGTGTAGGCATCCTAGCTAAAAAAGAAAGATGATCGTAATTCATTATCCCGGACGATCTTAGGTGTTGTATGTCGGTATATATATTGCAACCACACGATTAATAGTCCGGTATGGTGTAACGGCTAACATTGCCGCCTTTCATTCCATCTCGCATTCCATTTCGCGGCAGCTCGGGGTTCGATTCCCCGTACCGGAACATCAGATCATCATATAGTTTTTTCACCACGTTTGCAAATTCCGAACACAGCGACTGATATCTTCTGATGGCCAGCATGCTGACGAAGATGAACTTTTCCACTCTGTAGAACACTCTAGCCTCCTCGTTCTACAGTCATCTTGATTTATATTGTGCCAAATCACTGCATATCTACTACTACAATCCGAGATCTGTATTCCTTTCCACATGCTATCTTTCATGCAACGTATGATTTGTCAGAATATATATATCATCCTGATGTGGTTCAGCGCTGAGCGGCGGCCCTGGGAAATTTAATGTCATAGAGCCTCTGCAGTTAATCGCGTAGCCTGTCTGTCTGATCATTTATATGTGTGTTGGATAGCGTATACCTGCCCTCTCAGCGACCTCCATTGTTTAATTTTTGATGAAGCGTCGAGCTAGGACTAGTTTCTGGGTGTATGTATCTACAAAGCTAGAAAGACGAATAGAAAAGAATTGTACAAGGGGAGAGGTGGGTGGGTGCGCGAAATAAGTACTACAGGACGGATTGAATTCTGATAAAAAGAAAAGGCTGTTAATCAAGCGTTCGCTCGGGTGAATGTATCAAATTCAGCCTACTGTAAAAACAGAGCTGCGAACGAAAATCTATGTCAAGAGAAAAGAGTACCGCTCATTAACTGAGTACTGGAAGGTTCTTACGTCCTCGAGTAGTGAAGTACGAATACTGATCACAAAGAACGACTGAGGCTCTCACTACTCTGAGAGGACGTAAGACTGAGAAAATGCTGTTAACGAGCGATTCCACGCTCACCTGTACTGAAGATACGGACTGTAGATTGCAAAATCGCTGCACAAATGAAAATGCAAGACCGTTGCGTAATAAGGCTGAATGATCCACACTGATGCATGGCAAAACTCTGATATGTGGGACCTTGGACCCTACTGTTCTCGGCCCAGCATCCGCCATATCATGGCACTGAGTCATGAACGGCCTAAAGTTCCGCACATCGTGAGCACGATTGTGATGTGATTGTCGGCGCTTTCCGCGCAGAAAATGCACCTTACCCTCGGAACCCGCATTCACGTCGAATATCAACATGCCAAAGAAAGGAGAATGGAGACAAGAAAAGCAAGGCTGCGCATGTGATGGGTTTCCATGTAACAGATTCAATTAGTAACCGCCAACCTGCATGATTTATCTTTCGCACGTTCATAATTAGTAGGAACGAGTCACACTCTGCCTGAAGCCGTGAGAGGAATGGTCCATTCGGGCTGTGTCGAATTCCGGACGAGCCTAAGGTAATTTGAATGACACATCTCTACTAGGTTCAGATATTCAGATTCAAGAATATATGATGAATTGATGAAGATCCTACCGAGGACGAACCTCGGGCCTTCCTATTACTCATGCAAGCAGCGGGCAGCAGGCGGTCCCCATATGTATATAATCCAGCAACCGCAAATACGACCCACTAGGAGGAACATTGCGCTGTCCCGCATACGCTGATACTATATAACGAACGTCACATGGGTGCGGCCTTCATCCTGACCGATGCCCATTGAACACGCTCGTTGTCGTCATCGTCCGCCATCACAGGCAGAGATAATGATATTCTTTATCCGTCCGCAAGAGAAGATCTAGCAATAATCGTCCGTATTGTCTCCGTCTGCATGGACATGGACTGGGGGCCGAAAGGTTTCTGGAAATTGAGTCAAAAGGTGTACTTTCGTACCGGGGTCCGGGGAATCTGGATACGAGAGCTAAGAGGAGTCACTGGCAGGAGTACCGTACGCGCCAAGATAATCCTGATGTAAGTATCTTGTGAGGATACACCGTGCCCTGCGTCTCGTGATCCAATGAGCAGATCTATATTTTTGATGCGGCTCCTGATAGACGACAAATGAAGATAAGATGAAGCCATGCGTTATTAAATCAGGATTACACTGTGTACCTGTTTCCTCACAGTCTGGATGCAACTATAGCTAGTGATAGTCTGCTGACTGATACACTGCAGTGTGAGCGATAATCTTATCATAGACTTAGCCTCGCACAACGAACCACGCGCCAAACGAACTCACGATTTTTGTCTTATGCAGGAGCTTGTACAGCGAAATCCATAGCTGCTGCGCCAATTCGTCAGATCTTCAGAATGAAACGTTTCGTGAGTTGTCCATATAGCACCCCGACTCGGAGTCTGAAAGACATGTACATAAATGTAAATAGAAGGAGGGTCGCAATTTGAAGCCAGTCTTGTCACGCTTCGACTGCTGCTGATGTTCGTGTATGGTGCCGATTCCCCGATACGTCTGCTCATTGACACCACCCCTCTTGCCATCACTTCCGCCAACGTGCTCGTCGCAGGTCTCTAGCAACACGCCTGCCGTCTATATCCGAGTCTCTTCTGAATCCTATCAATATGGTTTCCCATGCCATCGATGACAAGATCACCAATACAACTTCGAATGGGCTCGCAGGTTTGACAATTCTCATGCATCTGCCAACTCTATCTCATCAAGTTTCTCGTGTCCAATAACCGTACCTAATGTTGCATATCAAGCGGGACTGTCGTTGACAGATCTATCGATCTCTTGAGCACAATAAAACAGTTGAATTCGAGGGAAAGGAACGCCGCGGGTTCTTCCTTTTGTATCTTATCCTCCTCTGCCTACCGACGCGCTTTGCCTTAGTGCAACTACTGTATATGAGGCCGTTGTTAAATAGTACATCGCAGCCTCTGAATGAATCGCCTGCCGTAATACACGGAGATGCTGTGATTTTTATGATGGGACGTGGTGCGCATCTTCACCTGCCTCTTGTTATATCAATAGACTGCGAACCCACAGCATCCGTTTCCGAAAGGCGTACACGAAGATCACTGCAAATAATTCAGAAAAAGTGTATACATCAAGGTAAGAAAAGAGGGAAGGATGTCTGTAGTCAACCCTGGTGCTAAGTATCTTCTTGTTTCTTTGCACTACAGAAGGTCAAGTGATTCGTTCACGGATGGTTTTTTGTTCCAATGACCTCCAGCCTCTACGCATACTACCAGTCCTAGAAGCTCAGTACGTGGGCTCTTGAGCCATCAGTGCCGCTATATCCCGATCTAGGAGAACAGAACGCGATTACTGCAATTCACACTATGGAACAAGACCTATATCTCACGAAAAGGATTCTTCATCCTGTCAAGTTGTCGTGAATTGTAAGGGGCTGTTGATTCTGAGGTCAATGCTCTCTGATGGTCTATATTCATCCTCGTCTTTCCTTGAGCATATATGACCAAGCGTGGGAGCACGACTCTTCTAGTGTTTCACGCCGTCTATTCATGGATATCGGCGGGTGGTTCTTTATTGCAGATACGACTGCCCTTGGCCCCGTGTGTAACAGGGATACTTAATTCGCGCTCCTCGTCGTCTTGGACAGCAAGTTACTTCTTGCTATTATGGATACATTAAATATGATACATTAAATCTAACATCGTGTCAACGACGCCGAGAACTGCCATAATTTTTTCCGATCTTCCGGCCTACTGTCAGGTGCTGAGCTTTCATCTCGTTTGAATTCAAAGTTGGAAACCATCAAAGTGGCTTGACAAGTCTATTGCGTCCAGTACAGATAGATCAGATGTTCTAGTATGGAATACTGATTTCATCTTAGGCTTACTATACAAGTGCGTTTCTCGTCTCCATCTCCAGAATAGCCTATAGTTCGCATGGAGATGTGTCGTGAGAGCGTACAGGGTCTTTCAGCTGTCGCTCTTAATGTTTGTTTGACAGTGACTCTCACTGGACGGGGCATCAACTCTGATTTGGAAAAGACAAAGAGTTGTCTTTACTGGACCCGGGTCGGACAGCAGTCATGAGGTCGTTACCATCAATGTTCCCCGGTCCCCTTCCTGGGTCCCTTTGTGAACATTGTGTGCTTGTTGCGCTGTTATAATACTAGAGTGACGTGTCACTTGTCAACGTACCATCCTGTCTGTAATACATTGCGGCTCAAATATTTGGGTAGTCTATTTCACACATGGAAGGCTTACTTCGATGTATCAGGCCTAGTGCATCGCAGACGGAGACTAGGGCAAATTCATAGATAAGTGGTTGCCAATCTTTGACAGTGTTATATTATATTTCACGAGCACCTTCATCAATCAAGATTTGGTGAGATTAGATCCTTCGCTTGATTTACTGACTGGCTGGAACCTCTGAATAGCACAATTCTCGAGCTATGGTTTGGTCATCTACTTCCAATTTACAGAAACTGATTGGTAGACGACGATCTTCCTCAGTGACTCTAATAGACAGCAGTTGAACCAATCACGAAAACTATGACTTATTTTACACCATTATCCGATTATGATGCTATCAATCTTTTTATGATAACACCTTATAAGCCGATATAATACTTCTATCGGCGATTAGTCCGGTGGCAGGCGAATATGAACATACGGTCCGGAAGTCATTTAAATAGTGGGGAAAGTCAGCTTGAACTACAACAATTGGTTTTTCCTCTCTCAATGACAGACAGAAATTTCTCGGAAAAACTTCTCACTAAGCCCGCGCCACAGTCTCTTCGACTGTTCCCCGACACATGGCATCCATATCTGGAGCTCATGCGTTGGGATAAGGTAGTGTAGTGACTGTTGTTTTGAGGATACCTTCGTTTCTCACACTTTTCTAGCCCACTGGAACCATGCTTGTGTTTTGGCCATTCGGTATCCTTTTGTCTATCTCACATGTAGGCGAATAGTCATAGAGAATCGATTTTCAATAGCATGGGGATTGACCATGGCTGCCTATCAACAAAAGCTGCCTTTGATCATCTATCCCGTTCGTTTGATTGAATATCTTGTCGCCGCTTTCATGCTCCGCAGTTCGGCATGCACCATCAACGACATTGTGGACTCTGATTTCGACATCAATGTAGGTATGTAACCCCGAGTCGGTCTTATCAGTTGCAATAGAAGCGTACCTGGTATCAGAGCGCACAAAGAAACGACCCATTCCAAGCGGACGCATATCCA